GTCCACAACTTTCGAACGTCGCTCCCTGAATGAGTGAGACATAAAAGTAATATCTCAGCTCAGTCTGCTGCATGTAAACACAATGCATCTGTAGTGTTATTAATAACATGAACGTCTCACCTGATCCCAAGACCGATGTGCTCCAAGACGTTGGACAGCGAGACATCTTTTGCTTGAAAGGGCTTTCTCTTCTCCTTGAACTCGTGTGCCAGGCAGATACGCCAACCCTCCTTGGGCACTCCGTATCCCATTTCCTTGGAGACATACCTGCTCATGAGGTCCGCTGAGGATTTCTCACCCCACTCCGACGTCATTTTTGCAGGACACCCTAACGATAGGGGAGCTTATGGCTGTGAACGCGAGGAAGAAAAACACTTCGCAGGGAGCTGTCTCCACCTTTTGTCAACAGAGTCAGTTTATCCTGCCTTCACCGCGGAGCAAAAAACACTGAGGAGGTAGCTGCATGTGCAAAGTGATCTGAGGGGGAAACGGAAAGCTGCAAAGAGGCATTCCTGTGGCAAACCGGTTCTCAAGCGAAAGGCTGTGAGTACCTGCTGGACAGGGGCAGATAGGTGAACAAGTGCTCCTTCAGGTAGGAGTTCCCAGGGCCATTATATTATTACTACTGTCCACAAGAGCATTTAGCCTCTACAGCTCAATATGGTCATATCCTCGGGGGACTATATGCTTCACCATCACCCTCTGGATTCCTGTGTTTAGAGATGGCAGACCCCTCTTTTGCCCCCCTGTTGCCCGGATGTGTGTGCTGTCAGCAGATGTGGCTGGATGTACACATGACAGCTTGAGACCAACAGGAAGTGTCGAGGATGCTCAACTCAGTCATTCAGCCGGCACAACTAAAAAAATAGACCAAACACAAGAACGAATTAAAAAAAATAATAAATAAAAAAATTGATCACATTTAACCCCGGTGCTATAAAACAGCAGGGCCGATAACAGGCAACATCTCAGCTGCAAAACTCTTAACATTATATCACCTTAATAAACACCCATGCATCGTTAGCTAAAGCACGTATGTTTTGCTCTAAAGCCACGGGATAACAGCTGGATTCAGCTACATAACTCGCCATTAAGAAGAGGTTATTATTCTTTAAATACCGGAGAGACGTTGTCATCCCGCTGCTGCTCCGACCCGACCTCAGTCACAGAGGAGCTTCGGCTAACACGACGCTCAGCACGCAAATCCTTTACATTTGTCAGCGACTTGCACGTTATTTCGCCCCCCGCAGTTTCTGTCAGGCGACTATTTCTCTCAGGCTGCCTTCGGATTCTTTCTCTTTTTACAATATTCGCAAATCCGAACCTCAACCAAACCACTAATTCTGACTTAAATAAACAAAAACAAACTAGCTGGTTGTTGTCGGAGTTGAATGTACGCTAAATCCGTAAACAGCCTGGAAGTAAATGGTGCCTGCCAAGCTGCACTCAGGGATTTCTTAGATAAGTCAGCCAACCCGCCCCCTCATGTACCCCTGACTGCAGACCCGCAGACCTCAATGTGGGCGGAGTTAAACGTTTAACCCCGCCCACTTCAACATTTGAGTCTGCCGTCACTG